TGTGAGTGTGTCACATCAGTGAAAGTCTGTGTTTGTCATTGAATGTTTGTGTGCCTGTCAGTGAATGTGTGTGTATGTCAAATCAGTGAGAGTCTGTGTCTTTCAGTAATGTCTGTGTGTTTGTCATTGAATGTGTGTGTGAATGTGTCAGTGTGTATCTGCCAGTAGGTGTGTGTCTGTCAGTGAGAATCGGTGAATGTGTGTGTGTGTGTGTGTGTATCTGTTAGTGAGTCTGTGTATGCCAGTGAGTGCAGGTGTGTCTCTGAGAGTTTGTTTGTGTCGGTGTGTGTCTGTCAGTGAACATATGTGTTAGTTAAACAGTATGAGACAATGACTGTCCATGAGTGTGTATCAGTGAGGGCATGTTTTCTGCTAGTCTGCCTATCCACACTGTCATCCTCAAACCCTGCCCACCACACTGTCAGCTTCCAACACACTGCCACCCCCACCCTCCCACACTGTCACTTCCCTACACACTGAGCCCCATACTGTCACCTTTCTACACACTGCCCCCCTCTACTGTCACCTTCCTACACACTGTCCTTTTTTGCAAATTACAGGGAAATAAGTACAAGTACCACTTTGCTATTACCATTTTTTTCAAAATTATTTTTCAAAAGTTACATTGTAACACTGATATCTGTCAGGAATCCCTGAATAACCCTTCAATATGTGTTCAGCAACATCTCCTGAGTATAGTGATACCCCCATGGATAGGTATGTCGGGTTCTCTGGGAGCTAAAAGACCTTATTTGGAGGATGTGCATTCCAGTTTTCCAACTTGGAATCTTCACAGCTGGTCATCATGCACCCATGTCCTATTTGGGACATTTTTGAAGCCTGCCAATGTAATTTACCCCTATCAAACCTTGTATTTTTGAAAAGTAGACACCGTAGGGTATCTCAAATGGTGATATTTTAACATGTTCCATGCACTAATTCTACCACCAGTCTTTGTCAACCTTTTGCGTAGTCATTTTGTTGAGTTATTTTTCACACACATTGTACTTTAGGCATGGATTCTCAGCTCCTGTTAGGAATTACTGCCAAAGAACACCCCGATATGTGTTCAGCAACATCTCCTGAGTACAGTGATACCACCTATGCATAGGTTTGTTGGGTTGTTTGGGGGGGTGAAATGCCAAACTTCTGACGTATGTTTTTCAAATTATATCTTCTTTATCTATATTTTTTGGGGGGGCATTTTACATATCCCAATTTATTTTCTTGCCATGAACATGCATATATTTGAAAAGTTGACATCCCGAGGTATTGTGTATGGAGTGTTTTGATGCCTTTAATGCAACAGTTTTACCCTAAAAAAAATTGGAGAAAGTGTGTGGTGGTAATTTTTCCATTTTCACACACTGCTTTTTGACTATGATTTAGGAGAGCCTGTTATTGCAAGAAAAACACTCCAGGTTGTTTTCTGCAAGTCCTCTTTAGAACACCCATGCCCACCCATGCCATTCTCTGGCACAGTAAAAGTAAAAAAACAAACCCATGAACAGTAAACGTAACTAAAAAACAAACAACTGAACGGCAAATGAAAAGAAAACCCATAAAAATGGACCAGTGAGTGGTATCGCTTGAAGCAATCCCCAATGCAGAGTCCAGGCTGTCCAGGGCAATCAGGACAGTAAAATATGGTGTCCTTTCTCTCCCCTCTTGAAACAGACTCTGCATCTTTTTTGAGGATTCTGCTTTGCTGCAGTAGGGGGGCTTTTAAAAATAAAGTGGGTAGTCTGCTCTCTCCAAATCACAGCCCGTGGAACAGGTGCATCTTGGTACAAAATCCACAAAATGATCTGGAGCTGAAACTGTAAAAAAGTCAGTTTTATTCCGGGGTTTGCCTTTTTACACAACAAAAAAGCGTTGTGGGTTAGAATCTGCATTAACTAAATTGCAACCTTTTTGTACCAGGCACTTGTCTTTTGTATAATTAGGTAGGGCTGCAGCAGCTGATCTGCCAGATCAACCCAACCCATATGCCGGTTATAGTCCCTGATACACACTGGCTTCCTTGTGCTCTCAGCTCTGCCACGTACAGAGACCTCCACAGTCCTCTCAGTGTGGATGGTGGTAATAAGGTACACATCCTTCTTGTCTCTGTGCTTAACTGCCAACAGCTCCTCTTGGTGCAGAACTGAGGTCTCCTCCCTTCATAGCCGGGTGCGTGCAAGTTGTTCTGGGAAACCTGCACATTTTTTTTTTTTATTGTATCGCAAGCTGCTGTATCAAAACAATACAGTAGCTTGAACAAATGGACACTTGTATAAAAATTGTCTGTATACAACTGGTACCCTTTGTTCCTCAGGGGGAATATCAGGTTCCAGACAATCTTGTCACTGGTTCCCATATGTTCTGGGCAACCTGGAGGGTCAAGGCGGCTATCATTTCCCTCGTACAACTGGAAGGCCTGAGTATACCCAGTCTTGCTCTCACAAAGCTTATACACCTTTACACCATACCCGGAGCTCTTGGAAGGAATATACTGCTTGAATCCCAGCCTTCCCTTATACTTCATCAGGGATTCATCCACGCATATACTCCTTCCAGCTGTATAAGCCTCTGCAAACCTGGCAGCGAAGTGGATAATCAGGGGGAGTATTTTATACAGCCTGTCAAACTGGGGATGCTCCATAGGGGCACAGGCTGTTGTCGCTGAAGTGCATGAAATGTAGAATCATTTCATACCATTTCCTCGACATACACTGGGAGTAAATGGGGGTAGAGCAGATGGGGTACTGCTCCATTAGGAGCGGATGGAGGGCTTCTTTATGAACCCCTGAAAAAATGCACAGACAGCAAAATAAGTGCTGCTGTGCAAGAGCCAGTAATCTATGCAGTAAAACACAAGTGAAGAGAGGGAGGGAGATCCATACTAATCAGAGCCAATATTTACTAATATTGACCTGATCAGACAAATGGGGATCATCGTTAGAATAAAGGCAGGCTAGGAACACTCCCAGAAGCCCAATGATGCACTGCCATATATATATATATATATATATATATATATATATATATATATATATTATTTATTTTTAAAGTATTTTTATTTTATTAATTCTTCTCTGAGTGCCTCAACCCCTCAAGGCACTCAGTACATGCAGAGCGATCACGCAGCAGCCCAGCAGTGAGGGGGGTATTCTAGGATGCCTCAACATCAAGACATTGCTGCAATACCATCAGAGCGGCTGGAAGCGATCATGATCATTTCCAGCGCTCTAATTCGCAGCGGACGTATCAGGTACGTCCGAGGTCGTTAACGTCCGTTTTTTGTCGGATGTACCTGATATGTCCGAGGTCCTTAAGGGGTTAAACGGTTCACCCCCTAGCATGCTCGTACCTAGAGCATTTGGCACCCAAGGTGGATCCTAAATTTGGTACCCCCCAACTTTAAAATGTAAAGAAAAAAAACGCAAACTGATTTTAATGTATTTAGCACTGAGCAGTGCTTGTGTGTTTGAATGTAAGCATGTTTTTGTATAGAGTATGTAAGTGAATGTAGGTTTGTGTGTGTATGTTATGTTGCATTTGAATGCAGGCGTGCATCTGTGTGTAGTGTGTTTTTTTAATACAGTGGTGTGTTTACATATAATGGTGGTGTTCTAATACTTAGGTGTTGTGACGGTAGTCACCGTCACTGGGGATGGAAGACAGACACTATGGGTGGGCTCCCAAATTCCTTTTGTGTTTTGTCACACTGAGCCTATTTTTTGTGCAGGATATGTTGAATGTATTGCTGGCCTGTGCATCTCCCCCTCCCCTCTTTTTCCTGTCCTATTGTTTCCCCAGCAGGGCGTTGTCCCAGGGACACTGCCAGACCAGTTTAAACTGGCTGCCCTGTCCCTCCTCAATCTCCCATAAACCCTTGCTATTGTCTGACCCCACCCTTCCATGTACTGTAGAGCTCTTATCAACCTATTGTATATAAATGAGGTTGTTGTGGGCGTAAACTATGTGTGCTGTATTTATTAAAGAGTTGCTGTTTAACCTTCACCATGTATCGTCTGGTGTTTGGTCCAGGGTGGAAAAGGCCCTAAGTGATCCCAGCCAAGCCTTGGTGTCTGGGTCTGAAGTGTTCCAGGGTCCCTGATAGCTACAAAGAAGCAGACTTGGCGGAGGTACTCTGTCGGAGTACTGGAGCTCCGTTACAGGTGTGTTAGTAGTGTTGAGGTTTGAATATAGGGGTGTATTTGTGTGTAGTGTTGGCAAGATGCTGAGATATATGCACATACACACACACACACATATACACACACTGGAAGTGACTAAGATGGCCCGCCCTGGGGGTTAGCCACCTAATCCGTAGTCCAGATTTATACTGTTTTCCTTTTGGTGTCATTCTTTAACTATCTAAAAAATCTATTGTGATTTATAGGCTGTGGGTACATGGCATTCAGTAGGTTAATATTCATTATAGTTGTATTGGCTGTAGTGTTTAGTCAGTTCATAGATCCCCTTATCTTATCTTTGTTTTATTTTTTCTATCTTTTGGCTAGTATGATACAGTGAGGGCTCTTGTGATTATAAATTCTGTTTTGGTGTTTGATAAAATAGGATTTGGAGCTGGATTATTATTCATGATAGATTGCTGTATTACTATCTAGATAGGATTATATACATCTTTTGTTACAGCTCTTATTCATCATTTATGTATTAGTGTTACTATCCCTTTAAATAAGTGGAGGTACGTTTGGGCACTTATTTAATACATGTTTAAGCAAGGGGAAAATACAGCTTAGAGTCTCAATTGTTGAGACAGATACATACTTTCTATTTATACCAATATTGCCTGGATGTGAATTCATAGTGTGTTGCTATTGCGATTATATTGTGATGCTTTTTTATTGTTGCCTTTGGTAAGTCCGTTTTCTGCCTTCTGGGCTGCACTGATGTGATTTGTTTTTATTTACTAGTTGCTAGGATGCTTTTTCTGTCCTAGCAACTAGCTCCCAATGATCTTGCCGGTCGCTCGATCACGTGATGACGTCATGACGCCGGCGTCACGTGATGACGTCATTGATGTGCGCCCGGACGCCGGCCGAACCCACGTGGGAGACAGACTGTGCTGAGAGGGAGGAATTAGTGTTTTGGTGTAGGGTAAGTTGATTATCAATTTGTATTTTACTATATATGTTCAGTATGATTATGTGTGTATTAATCCTGATGAAAGTCTGGTATTAACAGACTGAAACGTTGATTTTTGGACTAAGCTATTAAAAGTTAAGTTTTATTTTTCTTACATAGTCCTGTGAGTGCTATCCTATTTGTCTTTCCATATACACACACTGATACACTTGCAGATATATAGACATACAAATGCACACTGACACACACAAAGATACACAGACACACATCTACACACATGAAGATACACAGACACAAATCTACACACACATAGGTACACACATGCAGATACATAGACACACAGTCACACACAGATACTGACACACATGCAGTTACACAGACACAAACACTGACACAAATACACAGATACAAGCACATGTACAAATACAAACAGACACACAGTCGCACATAGATGCACAGATACAAACACACATACAGATACAAACACACAAACAAATACAGACATACAGATACACAGATACCCATGCAGATAGACAGGTACACAGTGTGTGTGCTTTTATAGTGGATGTACTGTGTGTAGAGGATGCAGTGTCTGTGTGTAGTGCACGTGTTTGTGTAGTGCATGTAGTGTGCGTATTTGTGTAGGGCATGTAGTGTGAATTTTTGTGTAGCAGATGCAGTGTGTTTGTCTAGTGGATGCAGTGCATGCTTGTGTAGTGCATGTAGTGTGTGTGTAGTGGATACAGTGTGTGTTTGTCTAGTAGACTGTTGTGTGGGATAAGTACTGGGAAAAGCAGATTTTTAATTAGTTGGGCTTATTCCCCCCTTCCCTCCACAGGCAAGAGGGAAGGGGGAATAAGCCTAACTAATTAAAAAAAACTGCACCCCCTTCCCCCAGTACTTATCCCACACAACAAACACACACAGTACATGCACTACACAAACAGACACTGCATACAAAACACACTACATGCACTACACTCACACTGCATCCACACACACACATCACACTATTTCCCTCCTCCCTGCCTCCTACCTGTGGCCAGAAAGGGCCACAGGTAGGTGATCCGGTGACTATATAAGGAACCCAGAAGTCATCTTGCACCCTCCAGCAGCAGCATGCCCTTTCCTCTCGCGAGCCATGATAGCATTGCACACTCCAGCATGCATTGCGTGCCGCGCGGAGAGTTGCCACAGCAACCCGCGGCAACGCTCTTGTGGTTTGAGACAGGAAAAGACATGCTGCTGCTGGAGGGTGCAAGATGACTTCTGGGTCCCTCTTCACCATGCAAGAATACACAACGGCAGCATTTTGCTGCCCCTGTGTCTTCTTGCATGATGAAGAGGGGCCCAGGGGTCAACATACTGCCCCGGGTACCCACCTAATCGGTGGCACCCTGGGTGGACCCCCCCCCCACGCCCTCTCCTTAGTACAACACTGCCCCCCAGCACTTATCTAATACATGCACTACACAGGCACTACTACATGCACATACATTACATCCACTACACAGACACTGCATGCACTAGACATACTCCATACACCACACAAACACTAGTTACACTACACAAACACAGACACTGCATCCACTACACACACACACACACAATGTATTTAATACACACACTGCATACAATACAAATGACATCCACGACATTGAAGAAGGGAGGAGAAAAGACATGAAAGGGATGGGAACAGAGACATGGATAGTGGGGTGGGGGGCAAAAAGACATGGAGTCTTCAATCCATGGGGTAGATGTGAGCTGAACGGACAGTTAAGGTGTGACACATTACCTACCTGGCTGAGACTGATGTTTGCAGAGGGATTAAGGGAGCATGTGTATATATACACACATACATACATGTTTTATAACTGCCCGCTACTTTTGTCCCTGGCCCACCATTTTCCCCTCCAAAAAAATGAATCCTAGGGAAGCCACTGGGGTGGAACATGGGCGGAGCCTGACTTGTTCAGCTAGGTGACTGAAGGTGTTTTAACCTTTTCAGCGCTGTGGGACAGGGGGAGCAAGGGAGGGGGATACTGTAGGAGCCTATAGTGCCAGGAAAACTGCTTTGTTTTCCTGGCACAATAGATTCCCTTTAACCCCTTAAGGACACATGACGTGGGACATGTCATGATTCCCTTTTATTCCAGAAGTTTTGGTTTAAAATAACTCCACGTGTCCTATAAAAAATGGATACAATAATTGATGCAATTACGTCAAAAATTGTTTTTTTTTGTGATACATAGAAATAAGGAGTGATCTGCGCACACAAGTTATTTACCTTATAAACATATCACTTGGAAATAACAAAAATGTATAATTTCCTGTAGGAAATGAGCATTAAAAAAAAGTGGGTGTTATTACATTGAAAATCGGAACACTCACAATTTTCAGAGCCTATTAAAAGTTGGCTCTGGACTTAGGTAGCATGTTATCTCCTCTTAGAGATTCAGGTTGGATTCCTCAATAGCGGAACTTCCAGAGATTCAGTGCGGTTAAAAACAACAACTTCGAGATCTAAGGTGAGTATAGGTAAACACACTATTTATTAACACATATAGTATGAAGTAATAAAAACAGTAGCACCATTAAAATAAAACAAAGAGTGTTTAAATCAATAAGCAGTTGTTCTCAACATAATTGCCTACATGACTTCATTTTTTGTCATGTAAGCGGTACTGCCAAACTGGAACTACCTCTAACCTGATTATTTATATGAAAACATGCCCTATGGAAGCATGATACAGTATTATGTTCAAAAGATTCTTAATTAGGTTTTCACAATTTTTTTTCATTCACAGGAAATCAATGGATTTCAATAGAGCAGCTTTTGTGACTAAAGGGATGACAAACTTTCCAGGTTAATTTCATCTTTGGTCCGTTGATTATTTATTGTTTGTAAACCGATACTGCCTACCTCTAAAGGAAGCAGAGGCAAAGGTGCTGTACAAGTTACCAGATATATTCCATTACTTTTTTCACGAGTATTTATTAAATATTTATAAGGTCATGGCGATACTGCTGCTATGTGAGATGATCCTAAGCCTTTTCTGAATTATTTATTTCTTGCAGGGACAAATGAAGTCAGACAACAGGTGTAGTGCGCGTATACACATACCTGGGATTATACATAAAAAACAAAATTGGTACGAAGTGAACAGAACCCTCTCTTCTATGGAGGAACTTCAGAGAAAGTTAGACCAAAGATATGAAGAAAGACCAAGGAAGGTGAGATTTAAAATATCTTCTGCGTACAGTGGTCGGGTTCTGAAACAGGTCTTTGAAGATGGCCATGAGCTGGAGTTACCTGAGGAGGAATATCCACATAGTTTTCTACATGACACTTTTGAGGCATCAGAACATTACTACAGCGAAGGAGAGGTCCATCCTCGGTTCTATCCCACCACTCGTCTGACGGCACAGAGGATCAGTGTTTTCAGAGATGGCACTTCTTACAGATTAGCTAGTGACCCATTATTCTCAGAATGCCATGGGTTTGACAAAAAAGTAAGTAAAATTCATTCTAAATGCAACCAATGATGTATTATTTGTAAAAAAAAATAAAAAAATAATAATAATAAAAAAACTAAGGTAATAACTAACTCTATAGCAAATATTTTTTAGACTTCACAAATATTAATTCAAACAGATTTATCTATAAAATGTTTTGTTGTATTACTGGAGAAATTATTGATTTAAAAATATTCCCTGAGTGTTTCCTGTGCTAACTTTAGCATCATCAGATGAGGAGCTGAAAGAGGAGTAGGTTCACACTGGCTGGTAAAATGCAACATGTGAACAGAAATTCTTAAATATTTTGAAATGTAACAATAGATCTTTTACTGAGTGATTCTGATTTAAAATATTGGGTTAATAATAGAAAATAAATTACCTATATGCCAGACTGAGATAAAGACGAAGGGAAGATCACAAGTGAGTGGGACAAGGTAAGGAAAGGGACAGTGTTTACAAGGAACAGAGAGAGAAGACAAGTCTGTGCATGCCTACCAGTGGAAACCTGGGGTAACAAATATAGCCCCAGTAATGACCTGGAGTTTAATATAGCACAGAACACTCTTAGACAGGAGGTCCAAAAGGGGAAGGCCGGGCAACTATAATCTCCAGGTATTATAGATGGTTTAGGAAACGCATAATGGTAAAATTATGTAATAGGATATTTAGAGAAGCCTATGGTGACCTATTGCAATAAGCTCCACAACGTAAACAAAGATAAGTAACAAAAGAAAGTAAAACATGGGCACATTCTGAGAAAATCACATGCTGCAGAAAATCCCAGAAGATGCAAGTTGTGACTGATCAAGAGGTGAATTAGATGTCTGAAGTGCTTCTCTCAGGCCACTGCTAGTTAAGTCCATGCCTGGCTGAAGAGCAATCTACTGGGAACTACTAGTCCAGTTGACTGTTTGGCTTGTGTATATATATATATATACACATACATATAAACCCAACATTTCAACATTTAGTGGCTGTCCTCTAACCAGCAATCATTTTTTCCCAATTAATCATCCCTCTTTTTGGTGTTATGGGTGAAACTCAGAATCCCGAAGCAAATGAACATGCTCGTCAATCGCACTTGTCACTGTCATTTTCTCAGTTATATGTGCATATGGTGCTTCAGAGGCAAGAAATTCTCAAGAACTGCAATTCAGCCAAAAGCGAGTGAACAAATCTAACTATTAGACATAATTCATATTGTTATACATTTTATTTTGACACCCCTAGTGGCTGTATGTGGCAATACTGAGTTTGTTGAGAATAAAATATAGGTTTGTGATATTAAAGCAGAATTTCTCAAAAAGTAATAATTCCTTGTTCCTTCTCCCCAGTAATTCTATTTCAAAAGGTTATTTGGGTGTATAAAGAAGTGTAGGTAGACAGCTGGACAAAAGTGGTAAGTGGCATCCATCAGGGTTCGATGTTGGGACCTCTTCTATTTAACATATTTATAAATTATCTTGAAATAGGCATTGGAAGCCATATTTTAGGGTTTGCAGATGACACAAAACTTTGTAAAGTAATAAAATGTGAGCAGGATATTGCTATGCTGCAGAGGGATTTAGATAGATTGGGGCACTGGGCAGTACAATGGCAGATGAAATTTAATGTACAGAAATGCAAAGTTATGCACTTCAGGATCAAGAATACAAAAGCAACTTACACCCTAAATGGTAGTGAATTAGGGATAACAAGACACGAGAAGGATTTGGGAATTGTTATAGACAACAAATTAGGCAGCAATATGCAATGTCAATCTGCCATTGCTAAGGCCAGTAAGGTTTTGTCATGTATAAATAGGGGCATAAATTCTCAGGACGAAAATAGATTTTGCCTCTTTATAAATCGCTGGTAAGACCACACCTTGAATATGTGTGCAATTTTGGGCACCAGTTCTAAAGAAGGATATCACAGCACTAGAAAAAATGCAGAGATGAGCTACAAAATTGATAAAAGGAATGGAGCATTCTAGTTACGAAGAAAGGTTAAAAATTTTAATCTCTTTAGTTCGGAAAAAACGGCGCCTCAAAAGGGATATGATCACATTATACAAATATATTCGGTACAAACCATTATCTGGAAATCTATTCATAAACACGGCTGTGACAGATCCGTCTGCCTAAGTACTACCTGCTGGTTCATCTATTTTGTTATACAGTGGTGGAATTACCTGCCCGTACATCCCTGTTTGTTTATTTCAGTTTATACTGAATAAAACTACCGAACGTCCGGCCACCCAGAAGAGAAGTGTGCTGCTGGTTAACCTATTGGCCTCAATTAGAACGTTGTGGTTAACCGCAGACACCTCTTAATTGGAACCGTATGCTGGGTGGTCGTCGTTCGTATGTCGACCACGAGGCAGCGGCCATTTTAAACACACGAATGAACAGTGATGTTCAACTATGAACTTATGGAACTCAAACCGGACACTTTTTCTACCAAACATCGCTGAAACCGCCGATCGCTCTTCTTATCATTAGGCATACGAACGCCGGTCCGTTTGGGACTTTTTATTGTACGAATGGACTTAACCCAGATAGCCATCCCATAACATAAAGGGATATAACATAAAGGGATATAATTTCTAATTAGAGATATCTGACTGCCATTTTGGGGTCAAGAAATAATTTTTCCTACTCTGTTGCAAAATTGGAAGTGATTTAGACTGGGATTTTTGCCTTCTTTTGGATCAACAGCAAAAACAAATGTGAGGAAGGCTGGACTTGGACGCAAGTCTCTTTTCAGCTATGTAACTATATGAAACACAAAGGAATGGGGTAGGGAAAGTATGTGGAACCCACTAACACTCATACTTACCCAGGGTTATGCCCCTGAATATCTCCTGTAACCTTCTATGAGGCATTAGTGCTGGTTAGCCCAACACTATAGCCTCTTCCTCTTCTTCATAAACTATGTAACTATGTAGGTAAGTAAAAAAAAACTTACCTCTGAAGGACCTCCACATTCTGGATAGCCTTATAGCCTCAGGTGTGCTCAGTTTGGACATCTATGCAGAATTTCTGTACCAGTGCATTTGTGATCAGAGATTTCTCTAGCATGCAGTGATGTAAACATGCATACGGATGTCAATATCTCATATGCTGTAATTGGTGTACATGTAACTCACAATAAAAAAAAAAATTATAAAGAATATTAAAGAAATTTACACACTAATATTTCATTTTTACTTACCTATTTGGTTGTGCTAAATTTTGAAGTGAAATTTCCTCTTTAAAGGAACACTTCAAGCATGAGAACCAGTGGCGTACACATAACCCATGGGGCCCCGGTACGAAACTAATCCATAGCCCCATTCCTCCCCCCTTGACAGACACACACACACATACATACAGAGAAACACACACACAGACACAGATACATACATACACACAATACATACATACAAAGACACATTCAGACAGACACACACACACATACAGACACACACACACATACAAAGACACATACATACAAAAAACAGACAGGCACACACACATACAGACAGACACAGACAGAGAGACAGACACACACTTGACAAACATACATACAAAGACACATACAGACAGGCACACATACAGACAAGGCACACATACATACAAACAGACAGACAGGAACACATACTCACATACAGACACACACACAAGACACACAAACATACAGACACATACATATATAAAAACAGACAGGCACACACATACAGACACACACAAGACACACATACATACATACAGACAGATAGACCCACACACGCACTATTTCATTCATATAATCATGGGAGTTGTAGTTCAGCAACATCTGGAGGGCCTTGGAAAAGCCTGCTCTAGAGCAAAGCAGTACCGATATTACCCAGTAATTGGGTAGTGCTCTCACCCAATGATCGTGATCCTCCATGGGTCCTGCTTTGCTTTAAAGTGACATCCAAATTACTCTACTGGAGAATACTGGATCAGGCGCAGGTGCTCAAGTAAGTTGTTAAAATGTGCTAAAGGCTGTAGTGGTTGTTGTGCTTGGAGTGTCCCTTCAACTCAATTCATTCATTGGTGAATAACCTTGTTGTGATGTTTTGTACAAATCAGCCAATAATTCCTGTATAACGAAGTACTCACTTTATTAATACATACATAGCAGGATCTTCATATTGCAGCCTTGTTACACTGGTACACAGCCCAACAGTCCATACTTGTTACTTTCCAATTTTAGGCTAAAACAATTTATTAAAATAAAAATAATCCATGTCAGGTGTGTATTCGGTATTGCTATTTTGGTCTCAGATTTGAAATTAGATTTAAATTCCTAAAATGTAATACATTAGTGAATAACTCTAACATTATTTGAGCACTGGGAGGGTTTGCAGTGGTGTAAACAACATTTTGTTTGCTACCAACTGATAAATGCACAGTACAGTTTTTATAGTTTTTTTGTATAAACAATTTTTAAAATATATTCATTTGTGTTATTGTGTTTTATAGACATCTAACGTGATCGATTTTGGCAAGATAATAATTTACACTAATAATTTAAAGATTATCCGAACTCCAGTAAGCAGAATAGGAGATATCTCTGAAAATCAAAGATGCTATCAGAAAGAAGAAAGCCAAACGATCAAAAGAAATATATTGTTGACACCAGAGGAGGGACATGAAAATCCTCAAACCCATAGGGAAGATATAAAGGTAAGTCATATAAATGTTTTAATACACTCCTCACTACATTAATGATAATGAAGACTTGTAGTGTTCACATTAAACTAGTTTTATGCTTTGAGTTACACAAAACAAATAATTCAGACTTTTTAATTACGATAATAAGTGTGATTGCGTCCAACACACTAAAATCTGTTCTTCTATTAAACAATACCAATTAAGCAACATTTACAGCACATTTTGTTTTCTAAACAATGTTGTATATTATTAAGGATAACATTTTGATACTTAGAAAGAAAGAAAAATAATTTTAATGTTAAGCTATAATACTACTTTGTTCCCAATGTGACATTTCAAATTTACAACTACATTATTTAATTTCTAGGAGAATAAGGGATGGTAGATTTCTAGCACTTGTAGAAAGATAAAGATAAAGAAGGCAGATTAGACAACCCATACTGGAGTCTCTCTTTTCCGGTCAGAGACTTGTCTGGTCTCCGGCCTGCCTCTCCTCCGGCAGGTACCCTTTGCAGCACAAGCACTATGTCCCCCACACTGCTCCATGATCCGCTCAGGGTGTCAGAAACCTGGGGGATCCATGGTGGGAAATGCAGGAGCATTGTGGGAACAACTGGTTGGAGGCAAACATGGACATAGTGCCCTGCCCACAAAGGGGGCGTGGGCACCTTTACTCACTAGAAGGACCTTCTACCTATATAGGCCCAGAGACACCTCCTTGTGGGAGGGTTCCTATTTCCTCTCCCCTATTTAAACTCGGACCACCCTGGGTTATTTGCTCAGCAGTCTTGTGAACTCCCTACAAGCCTACTCTGCCTTGGCTAACCTTTGCCTGCCTGCCCAAAGCTATCTTGGTTGAACCTGGCCTTGTTAACCCTTGCCTGCATGAACCTGCCTTATTTAACTCGTGCCTGCCTGAACCAGCTGTGGTTAACTCTTGCCTGCCTGAACCTATTTTGGTTAATGCTGGTCTGCCTGATCCTTTGTGAATTACTAAGCCCATTCACCCCAAACCACACATTTCCAATTACTTTGCATCTTTTATAGTTACAGTGAGCACTATAACTAATTTCTGCTTTTATTCACATGCTACCACAGTGAAGATCCTATCCACCAGTATATACAAGAGTTGGGATTATACCACCTCACACTATTTACTGGGAGCTATCAAAAGGCACCATTAAATGTGAGTGAGTGAAATTATATATATATATATATATATATATATATGGTATAGAGATATTAGTTAGCTTTACATCTGTTCGCCTGGGCCTAAGTATATGTGGTGTGTCTCTTGATCCAATAGGAAGTAATCCAGAGCATTTGTAAAATAAACAGAATGGAATATATACTTATCCAGTCTACAACAGCAAATATAATACACTATATTGGTCTCCATTCTGTTTATTTTACATATGCTCTGGATCACTTCTTATTGGATCAAGAGACACACTACATATCCAGACACACTACATATCCTTAGGCCCAAGCGAACAGATGTAGAGCTAACTAATGTCTCTATACCCTGTAAATGTATCTCTTTTTGTTTCTCCAATATCATAGATACTACATATATATTCTTACTATTGTGCCATTCTCTCATTTCATATTTGTCTCCATTTGGGGATTTCTTCCAAGAAGCTACGGCGTCCTTTATGTGCAAACATAATTTCATTTTAGAACACATCAGTTGTTATACTTTATTTATTCATCTGTGAGTTGCGTCCTTGTTTAAAGAGCAAAGGCTCAAAAGATGAACACAAAATTCTAATTAAAGGCATAATCCAGTTGTGATGACAAGCCAAATTACCCAGATTATTTAGCAGTGGGATTAGAGAGAGGAGATTATGTATGTCAGTAACCGGTGACCTTGGCATCACAAGTGTCTTATCCTCACTTGGCCTAAGCACATTGGAAAACAGGCACTCAACACAAGCAAGTGACTGGCTCTCGTTGGCTACTGTGACTTTTAAATATCATTCAGGTGATAAATTCATGGAGATGGGGTGGTTCTAAACATTAAGGGGACATTTAGCATTCTGTTCTAAAAAAAAATTTAAAGTATTCAAAAAGGGGCAACTACCATGGAAACTAGTAGAACTAGCATGTACATTTCATTGGTGACTCCTTATCTTTTTTTTTATTTGTATAATTCTTTATTTTTATTGTGCATGTGTGAACAAAGAAGCTTGATAAGCCACAACAGTTATGGCAATCATAGTGAAAACAGGCAAAAGATATTATTAGCATGGCATTAAAAGAAATTTCAAACTGCACATTTTTTGTTGTTGTTGCTGTAAATAAAATAAAACAACAGTAAAGAATATAAGTTAGGTATTACAGCGAGGCTGAGATGAGGTGAAGGATGTATGGTGCTTTTGCCAATTGACCCTTTAAGCCTATTAGTGTTCCTTGTATTACAAGCCTCAAGTACCTGATTAAAATTAGGTAAAGGTAAAAGGTAAACATAGTAAAATCACGATGAGAAACCAAAGATAATAACTGTAACATTTCACATATAGGCAATCGGGTGTAGGAGTAGAGCCTGTAGTAACTTATGTGGGAGATGAATATGAGAGAAGGCCAACTTTTTAAATGTTAATAACCGGCTCTTGCTTGCGTGACCCCTAACCAAGGAGGCCTCGGAGGGGGGGGAGGGTTGGGGGGGCGTTAAGGAGTTGTGATTTGACACACCCTTCTAAGTGAGCAGGGCCTTGGCTGTCTAGGCCTCGGGGGGAGTAGCCCTCCGGACTAACCATAACGCCAAAAGATTGCTTTGGTAAACACAAACTTGGTAAACTTCGCCAGCTGAAACGCATAACCTAAAAAAATAAATAAAAAAAAACAGTTTTCACCACTAATAATAGTTAAGCAATCCTGTGGGGCTTTCAGCCGCAGTGTCCGTGGTCTTAGTCAGGTCTCTGGTCGAGGAGTCAGTTGCCATTGAGGTGTAAAGGGGACTACGGTGGTCGCGTTGTCGGTGTCCAGAGGCCTTTGCAGGTACTGCCAGACCAGAGTGCTGAGCAGGGTGAAAGCTTCTTCTTTGGTGGATATTTATGTGTAGTCTCGTTGCGATTCACCAGAAGGGATCTCGATGATGTCCACCTGTATGTCACTCCTGCCGTTCTCAAGATTGTTGTTACTGGGCTTAGTGATTTCTGCCAGTGCAGAGTAGGTTGTGAGAGGTCTTGGAAAAACGTGAGGGCAGCTCCTTCAAAAGAGTAGGGTGTCAGAAGTGATTTTTTGTCGCTTGAGAGGGGACGACTTTGGGAGACGAAAGATTCCATCAAAGGAAAGTTTCTTGGCTTGGGTTGGGGGCAATAGAGTTGTTACTAGGTGTCTGATGTAGTGTGGGAGTTCTTCGATTGGTATTGCATCTGGCACTCCCTGTATCTTTTTAGGTTATTACTTCTGGTGCGATCATCTAGCGCAGCTAATTGTATGGCAAAAGCATGGTGGGTATTGTGAACAGAGTGTAGTGAGTCTCTCAGTACAGTAATGTCTTGCCTTATGTCTGTAATGTCCTCCTTCGTGTCACGGACTCTGTCTGTGGTCATCTGCACCTCAGCCCTAACCAACTCCACATCAGCTGCCAAAAGCTTCTTTATATTGGTCAGTAGATCCTTGATGTCCTGCTTGGTGACCAAAGTAGACATGTCTGAACAGCCTGGGGCAGGTAAGGCCGATGTCTGTGGAGAAGGCTGCAGTGGAGGGTCACCATGATTGGTAGGTGGCTGTTCAACATGGGCTTCACTCTCCTCCGCAGCCGCCATCTTGGATTAGGCCTGTTGCTGAAGCATGGTCCCAATATCCCTCGATTCTTGAGGTGTGCCCGGCGGTGGTTTCTGGGATCTCCTCCCCATGTTTGTGTGCAGGTCTGCTGCTTTGGGATCAGTGGCTAGGTCTTGGTCCGGTGCAATCAGAGGTGAGACAGGCCTCAGGAGATTGTACAGGCTCAGGTGAGCGCAGGGGCGTACCTAGAGCATTTGGCACCTGGGGCGGATCCTGTGCTTGGCACCCCCAAAAAAAAAAAAACGCTGTCAGCCCCTCCTACAAAACCCTTGTCCTGCCTCGCCCCTCCTACAAAACCTCTGTCCTGCCCTTTCTACAAATCCTGTACTGCCCCGTCTACAAAACCCCCGCAACCCCCTTCCACAAATCCCCTGCTTATCCCACTTATAAAGACTCCTGTCCCAATACAAACCCCCCACCCCCTTCTACAAAATCCCTGCAGCCCCACACACACATTTACAGGCAGACAGTCACACACTCAGTTACAGGCAGACAGTCACACCCAGTTACAGGCAGACAGTCACACCCAGTTACAGGCACTATCATGGGGCACTGTGCGGCCACAGCTCACACAGCCCCCTCCACCCAGGGCCGGTGCAAGGATTTTTGCCGCCCTAGGCAAAAGTAAAGTTTGCCCCCCATGTGACATCACAATGCCCCACCCATATGATTTGCCATGTTAACCAACGCCAGTGCTGCAGTGCCACTGCAGGGACAGGCTATAGACACCAGAACCACTACATTAAGCTGCAGTGGTTTCTTTAATGTGAGGTAAATTAGAGCTTAGTGCCACGAATAATATACTAGATTGCCTACTTACAACCAGATGAGGATGATGATGGGCTCTAGCTGCAGTCTGGCTCCACTGGTCTGGTGTAGAACAGGCTCTCTGGAGGCAATTTGTAACTGTGGTCACAAAAATGTTCTGGGAGAACGGGAAGCAGCTCCATTTTTTGGGGGCCCTTTACACAGCTCAAGGTCTGGGTCCCAGGGTCCACCTTCATGTTCCACCAATGAGTTTGTTCACAGGAGGTGGAGTGTGTAGGGGATGTCCTGATATGTGTGTAAGGAATGCATTGTGTGAAATTGTGTTTGTATGTGTAAGGGCTGCAAGGTGTGTTTCTGTGTATGTACGGGATGCATTGAATGTGTGTAAGGGGTGCATTGAGTGTGTGTAATGAACGCATTGTGTGTTTCTGTGTGTGAAAGGGATGCATTGTGTGTAACGGTTGCATTGCTTGTGTATGTGTGTCTGTGTGTGTAATGCATTGTGTGTTTTTCTGTGTGCAAGGGGTGCATTGTGTGTATGTGTGTGTGATGAATGTCATTCTCCCCCCCACCTCCTCCTAATTTCTTTCTCCCCCCCCACCTCCTCCTAATTTCTTTCTCCCCCCCAACTCCTCCTAATTTCTTTCTCCCCTCCCTCCTACCACTGTTGTAGCGTGGCCGAGCGCTCTATGGTCCGCACAACAGGAAGCTTTTGTTTCCTGTACCCGGCCAAACTAACAGGAAGTGAACACTGAGTGTGCACTTCATGTTAGTCCGGCCGGGTACAGGAGACAGATGCTCCCTGTACCTGCGGACCAATAGAGGGCTCGGCCACGCTACAACAGTGGGAGTGACAGGAGGGAGCGCTGAGCGCTTCCCTCCTGTCAGCCCCTCTCCTCAGGCTGCGCCCGGGCGGTGCGGTCCGCCCTCATGGACACACCGCCTGGGCAAAGCTGCAGCCGCCTGAGGCTCTCTACAGAGCGCTCGGGCGGCTGCAGCATGGGGGGGCTGGTGCCCCCTCCCAAGGCACCCCCCACCCTGGTGGCACCCGGGGCAGACCGCCCCCTCCGCCCCCCCCTTAGAAACGCCACTGGGTGTGCGCGAGGTTGGTAGGCCGCAGGCCTCCTCATCTGTCTTTTCTGCCTGGGACGCTGAAAGAACGGATGTATTGTGCCGTACTCTGTCCGGAGTTGAGTGCTAAAGGGTATGCTGCTGGATGAGTAAGTGTTCACAGGTTTTAGCAGATTGAGCAGCGAATCTCCGGAGCTAGGGAAAATGGCGTCTGCTCACTTCTGCGGTTAAGCCCCGCCCCCGGTGACTCCTTATCTTTTAAATGTCTGCACCACTTTTTAGGATATAACACTTTGATAAATTTCCCAATATTTCCAATATACTTTGGTGGGCTAACTAACACACTAATGCACAGCAGACACATAAACACACATAGTAACAGAGTTATTAATTAAACGGACACTATAGACACCAAAACTTTAGCTTAATTAATTAGTTTTGGTGTATAGATCATGCCCCTGCAATATCACTGCTCAATTCTCTGCCATTTAAGAGTTTAAGGGAAACTGTAGGCCCTGTATCTGCTTTATCTCATTAAATGTGTAATAGTGTCTGGAGTCACTAGTGCAACTATTTAATTCAGTATTAAACATTTTCTCATGTTGTTATGTTTTAATGCTAAATGACAGCCCCAAGCAGTCCATTCCCTCTGCGTTGATTGTGCTAATGAGGAAGTATTAGCCTGAGAAGTAATGGGAAGTTGCGATTGGCTGCAAGTGTCAGCTGTGTTCAACCTATCAGAGCTCCAACTGATGGTATGAAGGGTATGACTACGAGGAAGTGTGTAATCTCTGACTTAGCCACACTTCCAGAATGGGATGGACTGTGGTTGGCCAGGGACCCTTGTTTAGTTTAAAACTACTCTAAATGAATGTATAGACACTGCCAGGAGCATCCTGTGTATGATTTAAGTTCAATTTACAGAGCAGGAGATAAAAACTTTTAAAGTAAGTAACATCTGAATGAAAGTGAAACCATCTTTTTTTAATGGAGGGTGTGTCAGAATGAATTCCTAAATTGCAGCGAATTGAGCAGTGAAACTTCAGAGTCGTAATATATATATATAGATTATGGTATTTTGGAGAGATTGATCCCAAGCTGTGAGATAATACACACTTAGGGTCATACATGGTAGTAGTAAGACTCTGGAGATATTGTTCCCAATGTGCTGAGGTGAGCAGTTCCCTTAAGTGATATATAGTTCAGGTATTCCTGCAATTTATTATATTAACAGCTCAATCAGGCTGCTATATATTGCTAGGATGAAAGCAGAAGGCAGTGATATTCTGTTAGAGAAACTTGAATGCAAATTATGAATCTGGAGTCCTTGAGCATAGTATAAGTTTGATTTGGCTAGTGAGGATTGATAATGTTATCTTGTTCTCCAACATTACAAGCTATGGAGAGGTAATATGACTAATGTATTTGTCAGTCAATCCTCTTATTTAGTTTGGGATAGCTTGTTTCAACCATTTTCAATAAATTTCAATATTTTATGTGGACTAGGATAAGCCCCTCTAATCATCAAGTTTTGTTAATATGCAAGTGTTGTCTCACGCATACCTGATGCAACTAAAAAATGCTTCATTAGTTGCACAGGTGTGCTCAAGTTGGAACACTTGAAATACCTGAACTGGCTAGGGGTTTGTTGAATGCCACGTTTGACTTCATCTTTGTAATATGGCTAAGTCAAAAGATTTGTTAAGAGAAGATAATCATAAGATCATCGCTCTTCACAAACAAGGGAACAAGATACAAAAAGAAAGCAAAGGCACTGAATGTTCCTAGAGACACCTATGGAGTTCAAAGTTGAAATTACAGTGGTTACACTACCTGGAAAGGGCAGAAAAAGGAAGCTATCTAAGGATGCAGGAAGATTTCCGAGAAGGCAGGTTGTGAAAAACCCTTGAGAGGCTGCAAAAGAACTGAAGCAAGACTGGTGGCAACAGGCACAGTAAGGCACATACCAGTCTAGAACTCCAAGACGTACATGGTTTTTGACCCAAAAGCACAAGAAAAGGTGGTTCCAATATACTCAAATTCATATAAATAAGCCACATAAGTTGTGTGATTCTTTTCTGTGGAGCAATGAAACAAAACTGGACCGTTTCAGCCCAATGGATCAGCAGTATGTCTGGAGGAAGAAGAATGAAGCATATGCTGAAAAGAACACTCAGTTCTGGTACTGGAAACTTGCAGCATGTGGAAGATAAGATGCATTAATTGAAGTATCAGGAAATCCTAGGAGAAAACATCATGCTGTCTGTGAGGAAGCTGAAGCACGAACGTTATTGGAACTTCCAACAAGACAATATTCCCAAACCCAAACATACCTCAAATTCTATTAATGCTTGGTTGCAGAACAAGTCTTGTAAGATTCTACAGTGGCCAACACATTCACCTTACTTGACCCCATAGAAAATCTCTGGTGGGATTTGCAGCACACAAACATTATATATTACGAACCGGAAGTCATTGCTTATGAGCAATAAGCTAAGACTTTTTAGGAATGCTGCCAAAAAGCTGGTGTCTGGCTATGCATCACATGTACAGCAGGTCATAACGGTAAAAGGGTGCTCTACTAAGTACTAAAGATGCTTGCCATGAAGGGGTTGAATAATTTTGGGACTGGAGAAGTCATAAGTTGCATTTTTTTGTTGCATTTGGGGAAACCACTTGAAGCATTTGTTGTGTTGAGCAATTTCAATTGATTTTGCTTGATTTGTTCATTGCAAAGAGCTGAAGGTCTGAACATTTTGACCTAAAAACTGATTTTCCTTGGGGGTTGAATAATTTTGATTACAACTGTATTTCAATTACTCTAGAAACATAGTGCCTTAAGGGGTACATGATAACATTATATAAATATGTTCAGGGTAAACACACACAGTTTTCTTGTGCCCTCGACTGTGCCAATTACAAGCAGTTATCATCAATTCAGAATTGAGAAAATTAAATGGTTTTTAAAGTAACAAGCAGATGTCTTGGGATATCTTCTTTTTAAAACACTCGCTTTTTTTATTTTTCTTTGTTTTGATTCATCAGCATCAATGTGGATGTGGAAGGTTGATTGTGATACATTTGAAGTTTTGTGTTGTTGTTTTTTTTGCCTTGGACTATGGCTCTGAGTGACAATCTAACTTGATGCCCTTATTTTGTTTCAGGAAGGCGAGATCCACCAGTGCTTGCAGTGCAAAGGGTCAGGATGTGCCCCATGCTCTTTGTGTCATGGGAGCAAGTTTTCAATGCTTGCAAACAGATTCAAAGAGTCTTATCGTGCTCTTCGGTGTCCTGCGTGTGACGAAAAAGGTCTGCAGCCATGTCAGACTTGTGCCCACTAGCTATGAGTTGAGTTCCCATCATAAAGGACCATTATGCACATATTATCTGTAATTCTAAAATTGATGTTAATAAACAGATGTCCAAGTACAAAATAGTCTAACGTTTTTAGTTCAAATTAGTGTTTTCTCCAACATGAAAGTCATGGTACTTTAGTAATCAGTTCTTCTTGAGATTCAGCTTGGCATATGAACGGATGATATGTTTTTTCTCCGTATATTGTAATGAAGTATATATTTAGCAAATGTGGTCTACAACAGCTAGCAATGCAAAGTTTTTTGTGTAAATTCTTGTTATGGATGGAACATACACATCAGCAAGAAAATGAGGCTCCTCAGAAGAACACCATAGGTTTGTATCATTAATTACTAAACTGTGAATGTACCAACTACTTTGCATACATTTTAAGTTGGCAGTAAAAGTATCCAAACACATCCTTATAGGAACACACTCAAAATGTAAATAGCAAGAGGAAAACCAGTGCCAATGGACAAGTATTAAAACATATACAATTGGTACCAGTGTTACCTATCATAGATGAGTTTTCACAACCTCAGTAACTAATCACAATATAGACCAAGAGGAAGATACTTCAAGAGACACAAAAGCAAGTATATGTACATTCACAATATAGGGAATAGTAAGGAAAGGGGCGTTTGAAAGAGAATCTTGGGATGTAATATAGTAACATATCAAGTCATGGCTAGAAGCCCCTCTGCTGTATGCTACAGTGAATTTTTGGGTTATGCCATCATTTTTACACCCATCACAATTAGACTTGTACACAAATGTGTTTCAGCTGGCATGAAAGAATCAGTGCCTTTTAACCCTTTAAGGACTGGACTGTTTTTGCGATGTTGTACATTTGCGACCAGGCATATTTTTACACTTTTGTGGTGTTTGTGTTTAGCTGTAATTTTCCGCTCTCTCATTAACTGTTCTCATACAAATTATATATTGGTTTTTTTTCAGGACAAAAGGGGCTTTCTTTACATACCATTATTTTTATAAACTCATGTAATTTAATTTTAAAAAAAATAAAAATAATTAGATGAAAAATTTAATAAATACATGTTTTTTGACTTTTACTTGAAAAATCTGTTACTCATCTCCAAAAGCGAATGAAAAAAACTGCTAAATAGATTCAAAATTTTGTCCTGAGTTTAAAAATACCCAGTGTTTAAGTGCTTTTTTTTTGCAAGTTATAGGGCTATAGGAACAAGTAGGATATTGCGGTTTCAAAACATACATTTTTAAAATGTATCAATAGTGACATTGTAACACTTTTATCTGTCATAAATCTCTGAATAACACCCCACATCTACATTTTTTTTTTAAAGTAGACAACCCAGGGTATTCAATATGGGGTATGTCCAGTCTTTTTTAGTAGCCACTTAGTCGAAAACACTGGCCAACGTTAGCATTCATATCTGTTTGTGTGTGAAAAAAGTAAAAAACTAAATTGAACGCTAATTTTGGCCAGTGTTTGTGACTAAGTGGTTACTAAAAAACACTGGACATACCCCATTTGCAATACCTTGGGTTGTCTTCTTTTGCAAATGGTATGCCATCATGGGGGTAATTCTCACTCCTGGGCTACCATACGCTCTCAAAGGCAACGTAACCAACCTGGCCATTTTCAATGTAAAAATATTTGACCCTTATATTTGACCTTGTAACTTTCAAAAATGCTATAAAACCTGTACATGGGGGGTACTGTTTTACTCGGGAGACATCGCTGAACACAAATATTAGTGTTTTAAAACTGGAAAACGTATCACAACAATTATATCATCAGTAAAATTGCTGTTTGTGTGTGAAAAATGCAAAAAAAGTCACTTTCACTGACAATATCATCACTGCGATATGTTTTACTGTTTTGAATCACTAATATTTGTGTTCAGCGAAGTCTCCCGAGTAAAACAGTACCCCCCCATGTACAGGTTTTAGGGTGTCGTAGAACGTTACAGGGTAAAATACAGTGCTAGCAAATTAAATTCTCTGGAATTTCGGCCTGGGTTGGCAGGCAGGTCACTCAAATTGCAATCAATAAAATTACTGAATTATGTAAAAATATTACATAAATACGCACGTAGAATTTAAATATATATGCATATTTATATATTTGAAGTCTACGTGTATATTTATATAATTATTTATGTAATTTTGTATATGGACATATGTATATTTCGTATTATTTTTATTTATTTATATATACATAGATATATATACACAAATTCATTCTAAGTGTATTTTGATATAAATATATATATATTAATATCAAAATACAGTTAGAGTAAAAATTCATATATATTAAATTTTTATTATTTTTAAATTTTTTAATTTAAATTACTTATTATTTAAATTTTATAATAATATATATACAATATATATAGTTATATATATTATATATACGTGTGTAATTTAATTATAAGTGTATTTTTATATTAATATATGTACATATTAATATAAAAATACACTTAGTATGACATTATATATATGATATCATATATATATATATATATATATATATATACACACACACACACACACACACACACATATATATATATATATTTTTTTTATTAACATTAACTTTATTTTATTTTTTGATTTTACACTAGCAGGGAGACTGCCTGTCAGCACAGACAGTCCCCCTGCAGGCAGACACATGGACACCTATTGTGACCATGTGATCGCTGTGTTGAGTGAACACATGGCCACAGGGGTCCTAATCTAGTGTGGGGAGACTGTACTTAGTAAGCAAATTTTAATACTTTGAGAAAATTAAAGTGCTGAATTGCAAAATTGCTAATGAGCCAGAGATGTGTGAAATATTAATGCTAGGTAAAAGCAGAGCTTGATTAAGGTTGTCCAGGCCTCTCCTGTTTCTATGAGTGATGTCTGTTTGGTGGCTGTGTGTTGTGTGTGGTAAGAGTGCGTGGAGGAGGGTGAGAGAGCTGTACGAGGAGAGCCTTAGTGTGTCTTTGTGTGCTGGTTGAGAATTCTATGTGACTTGACTCAATTGTTAGTGTGTGTAGGGGAGACTGAGTGTACTGGTGCAGATCAGGAAGTTCTTTGCCAGACCACAAGCTCACATCTGGTTGTCCAGTGGGCTGCGAGCTCGATCCTTCGTGGACCAATAGTGGAGCTTCCTGATCATCACCAATATCAGGTACACAGGGCCGTCTTTAGTATTGATTGGACCATTGGCAACTATTTGCTTGAGCCCACTGGACCCTGCCCCCTCCATGGCATGGAATCACACCACCCACCCCAAAGCAGTGGCAGAACTAAAGTAGAAAGGGTCTGGTGCAAGAATTGTTTTGCCCCTACCCTATCGCAAGGGTGGACAAAAGGTAGATCCTTTTGTGCAACTCCAACAATGCTCTGACAGCTGCGGCTCTACAATTTTCTCATGCTTGCATGCTTGTGTTTAGTACTGAGCAGTGTTTGTGTGTTTGAATGTAGGGGTGTGTTTGTATGTGGTGTTCGCGTTTGAATGCAATCATACCTGTATGTGTAGTGTTGTTTTCCACTGCAGGGGTTTGCTTATATTTAATTTTGGTTCTTAACACAGAGGTGTGTTTTTATGTAGTGTTGAAGTTTAAATGCAGGGGTGTATTTGTGTGTAGTGGTGGTGGTTTAATGTTGAGATGTATGCACATATACACATACACTGCCACACACACACACACTGTGATACACATACACATATGGAGATACAGACACACAGACTGATGCAGATACAGACACACCAGTACACATACAGAAAAACAGATACACAACCTGAACACATGCAGATACACAGACACACCAATACAAACAATGACACACAAGATACACACACTGACAACATACAGGTACATATACACACACTGACAACATACAGATACACAGACACATATACTGTCAGGCACACTGACACATACATACACTGACAGACATACTGATACACACAGACACTGACACACAGACATACACACACAGACACTGACATACATGCTGACACATACACTGGCAGACACACACACACACACACTGACATACACAAAGAGACACATACACTGACATACTGACATATATAATGACACACATACACTGACAGACAAGCTGACACACACACAGACACATACACTGACAGATATGACACACACACAGACATACTGACACACACACACCTACATATAAACATACTGAAACATGCAATATTTACATTTGTAAGCTCACCCTTCAGTTTCCTACCTTTTACTGGAGGGTGGGTTCCCTTGGGTCCAGTGTGGTGCCTGAGCATGAAGTGAGTTGGGGTCTGGCTTTCCAGTCCCCTCCTCCCTCCAGCACGGCTCTGCTTTCTCTGGGAGGAAGTGACTCATGGCAATCACTTCCTTCCATTCTGCCAAAGAGCACGGGGCCCAGTCGCGCAGTTAAAGGGCCACAGCGCACGACTGGGCCCTTGCTGACAAATACCCACTGGGTGGCTATGACTGCATGGGCAACCTGGTGGACCCTTTTAGCGTGAGTGCCCATTGCTGCACTGGCAGCCACATGGAAAAAAATGTAAATTGCGGGCAGCGGTGCCTGATGTGCTAAATCAGCCTAACCAGCTTTTGTCTTTGTTTTTGTGTGATTTGTTTGATGATATGAAAGTTTAGCACTGTGTGAAGTGCAGATCAAAATGTGGTAAGAGTAAAAGTAGTTGTTAAATTGTGCAAAAATTTAGAACCAATGTCTGAAAAAAAGAAATATGCTTGTGGCTATTTACCAGAGTATCTGAAAATTAGAACTTAAATATGACAAAGAGAGTAAATGTAATTTTGGCAGTGGTGGATACCACAAACTCTGGCAAAATAAAAAACTGACTGCGTTAGATCCAGACAGGTGGAAAATTATATTCAGTTTATTGATACCTTTCCCTACCACATATCTTGTAGAATCAGGCTTTAGTGCTGTTAATCATAATATGAGCAAACAGAGAAACCGTCTGAATATCTCCGAAAGAGGAGACCTTCGTTTGTTCCTAAATATCAAATATTTAGTCTCGCAGCATCAGCCTCAAGGATCTCATTAATCACCAGTTAAAAGTAA